AGTCGCCACAATCAACGTCTCGTCATGGTACCGGCATGGGCGGGCCGCGATGCAGGCCGCGAAGGATGCAGGCGTTTCCATCGTGCTCGTCCAGGAGCTCCGCCTCACCAAGGAGCAAGTTGCTGCTCAACGGGACCACTGGTCCAAGAGCGGCTGGGCCATCCACCCGGGCACTGAAGCAGAAGACTTCCCGGAGGGCACGGGGAAGAAAGCGTGGACACGTGATGAGGTTGGCGGCACGTTCATGCTTCTACGACACGGATGGCAAGGAGAAAGGCTGGCGAATAAACGCGCAGGAGGAGGAGAGGCAGCAGTGTATACCATCAGCAGCGGCACGGCGAGCATGACCGTGATCAACGTGCACAGGAGGTTAAAGGAGGAGGAGGCAGTGAAAGAGGAATGGGATGAATGGCTGGAGGAGCAGGTCGCTAAACGACCCGCCTCGGAGACCGTGGTGTGTGGCGGCGACTGGAACATCCACGCGGAAGACGGGGAGGTCAGCCACTTCACCAACATGCAGATCGGGGGCAACTTCAAGCCGGTCGCCCCCAGGCGCCCGACGAGGTGGAAGTCCACGAAGACGATCGACTGGTTCTTGGTACGGCGGGATACCCACCACACCAGGTTGCAAGCTCGAGTGCTGGACGACGTGATTTCCGATCACAAGATGGTGGTCCTCGACATGCCCCCCTGGCAGGGGCGTGCCCCAGGGACCCGCGGATGGAGGTGGCAAAAGGCACCCCCAGTACGCGTCCCAGACACAGCGGAGGAGAGAGAAGCTTGGACGGGGAGAATGGCAAAGGAGTGGCATTCACCGGAGGCGGACGCCACCGCTGGACCAGCTGAGAGATGGAGGTGCTGGGCCCGCAGGGCGGAGATCGCTTTGCGGCGGCAGGAGGCCCGGCACCGAGAAGAGCCTCAGGCACCGGCCGCAGGAGGAGAAAAAAGGAGGACGAGGAGGCTGAAGATGAGGGCGGGATCGGGCTGATCCCAATAGCCCAGATGATGAAGAGCGATGCCAAGATCGTGCCCAAGCGCCTATCCAATGACGGCGCTGGGAACGAAATGGGCGGAGAAGAGGCGCAAGCGAGGAAACAGCTGAGTCGAATTGGATGGCTGCGAGACAGGAGGAACAGAGGGAGGACAGAGGAGGAAAAGAAGGAGTTCCAGAGGAAGGCGGCCAAAGCAGCGCAGGTCAACAGGCAGCACGGGGTGCGGCAGGCGTCCCGGGTCGGACAAGTGCGCGCTTGGGAGCAGATTCTGGACAATATCTTGCAGAAGCAGTACCGCGAAAGGATGGCAGCTTGGAGGAAGAAGATGCAGGAGATGAAGGCACCGACCTACCAATGGGTCAAAGGGCAGGGGCATAAGTCCACGGACGCCGCCCTGAAGAGGAAGGAGGAGTGGCTGAGTGGGCCTGCTGCGGTGGACGAGCTGCGAGCGCACTACGAGAAGCACTTCGCGTGGGCGGGGCACGGCACGGACGTCGAGGGCTACCTCAAGACCTTCGCGGGGGAGTTAGAGGACATGCAGGCGATGATCGAGCATGTGGCAGGCTGGGCGCCCCCAGACATCGCCTCGGCCGTCGAGGATGGCAGGTGGTCTGCGCCTACAGCGGCGGATATGCGGCGGTCCCTGCACAGCATGCGGAAGACCGCAGCGGGACTCGATGGGTGGCAGGCGGCAGAGCTGGAGGTCCTTCCGGACGCAGCGCTGCAGGAGCTGATCGAGATCCTGGGACAGGCGGAGTTGCAGGGATGGCCCCCTGAGCTCCAGCAGTGGAGGCAGGTACACTTGCCGAAGACAGATCCGCCAGAACTAGAGAAGATGCGCCCGGTGTCCATCGCGTCCACGGTGTTACGCATGTGGACGCGCTACCAGGCATCGCAGCTGGAAGCGTTCTTGCGGCCGGCGTTTTCGGAGGCACAGGCAGGTGGGTTGCGAGGCCGGCGGCTGGAGGAGCTGCTGGACCCCATCCTGGAGCAGATGGAGGCCACAGCAAACGAGCTGGAAGGCGGGTGGCGGGAGCTGCATGGACGCACTTGGGACTTCCAGTCGGCGTTCGACACCGTAGAGCCGCAGCTCGTGCAGCAGATCTGGGTCACGCTGGGCGTGCCTGCCTGGCTGGCGGAGGGTATCGCCAGCACGTGGAAAGAGAAAAAGAAAAAAAAAAAAAGAAAAAAGAAAAAAAGAAAAGAAAAAAAAAAAAAAAAAAAAAAATGAGAAAAAACAGAAGGAATAAAAAAAAAAAAAAAAATAGAAAAAAAAAAAAAAAAAAAAACAAAAGTAAACGGCAGACGAAAGTCGTTGAATTCGAGGATATGTGGCCAAGACCTCATCGTGGTGCAACACAGCATGCCCCAAACGCAAATGAAAAAAAAAACATCCCATGATCGAAGCAAGAAGGGCTGCCCATGCGCGATGCTGGGGATGGCAACCGTGTTGGCTGCCCCGGTGTGGAGGGCGAAGCGGGCGGCACCAGACGCGATTTTGTCGGTCTATGCTGATGATCGCGCGGCCGTCGGCATGACAGAGCACCAGATCGACAGAATTGAGGAGGCCTGGGCGGCGCTGGAGGCCTGCACGAGCATGAGGACGCACCGCGGCAAGACGCAGTCCTTCTGCATGGTTCAGGGCGCCATCTGGGACATGACGAGGCGAGAGGAAAGGGAGGAGGATGAGGAGGCAGCAAAGCAGGGAGACGAGGCAGAAGGTGAAGAGGAGAGAGCTGCTGGAAGACGGGGCAGAGGAAGCAGAGGACGAGGCAGAGGCAGAAGAGGAGGAGGAGGAGGGCGGAAGAAGGAAGGACGAGGAGGACATCCCCCGCCTGGGCGCAGGATAGACCAAGTGAGGCTGCTTGGTGTGGAGATCCTGATCGGCGCGAGTGCAGGGCTGACAGTGCGCGAGCAGACAAAGATTGAGGAAGGCACGAGGAAGGCGAAAAGGATCATCAGGTTGCCGCTTCAGCCGCACCAGCGCCGACAACTGGCGGGGGCATGTGTGCTCGCAGCGGTCACGTGGCCCTTGGTCCTCAGGAGCCCGACCCAGAAGCAGAGAAAAGAATTGGACACTATGTTGTCGAGGGCCGTGAGAGGTGACCAGTGGCGATCAGGGGCCAGGCCGCTGCAGCAGCTCCTCCTGGTTGGCCACACTGCCGACTTTTCGCTGCGCTTGCTGGACAGAATCTGGACGCTGATGGACGCGAGAATCCGGCGACGCGGAGCCGCGTACGTCGAGGACGCTTTCAGGCAGTTCTGGATGAAGGACAAAAGGACCGCCGGGGTCATGCAGACCGTGGATGCGGCGATGAGAAAGCTGGGATTTCTCATGATGTTGGACGACCAGGACCACGTGATCTGGAAAGCGCCTCCAGAGGCAGATGGGGCCGAGATCTCCCTGACCTTCCCCAAAGACGCCAGGGACCACCTCATTCGTGAGGTATGGCGAAAGAGGCTGTGGGCAACATTCCTGGGCAGTCGCACGCGGCGGGACAGCGCTGCCGGACGGCACGCGCAGGCGCCCTATTGCCCACGGGCTATCCGTGCGGCGCTGGAGCTGACGAAGGCGTCAGACCACGAGATCGCGATCCTCACGGGCGCGTTCTTCAGCAATGCGAGACTGGCTAAGATCAAGGGGCTTCCGATACCCAAGTGCCTCGGCTGCGACTTGGACGAGGACGACGACGCAGCGCACACCTTCTGGAGATGCCCGAGGTTTGCGCAGTGGAGGAGGTTCGTGGCGATCCCGCCGAACCCGGAGTGGCTGGTCTGGCCAACCAGGCTGCTTCGCGGCAAGAGGGAGGTGGAGGAGTTCAAACAGCGGATCCACTACATGGCCAGCGTCCGGCAATGCATCCTGCATCAGAGACATCGCCGCACGGACGCCGAGGGAGAGCAGGCAAGGAGGCCCAGGAGGACGAGAACCGTCTTCGCTGAGGAGGAGGAGGAGGGAGAGACAGAGGAGGAAGAGGAAGGGGACAGTGAGGAGGCTGAGGAGGTGGCCAGAAAGGCGAGGAAGAGAAGAAGGAGACAGAAAGCTAAGGAGGGTGAGGAGGTCGAGGAGGTGGAAAAGCATAGTAATAAGAGGAGGAAGTGTGGAGGTGGAGGTGGGAGAGAAGGCTGAGGAAGATCTGACCAGGAGCAGAAAGCAGCAGTGTAGTAGTGGGAAGATCGCTCATCTCGCGAGCCCTCCGCAGGCTCGCCGCCGTCTCTGA